GCCTCTTCTGGAGGATTCAAAGACGATGATCGTTTCGCTCGACTCGGACGCCTCAACATGCTTGCCTAGATTCGAAGGTTTCCGTGCTCGCCCTGCCTCGCCGGGCTATAATTAGGAGATTAATCAGTTGACTACTGAGCGCTGAGCGCTGAGCACTGAGCGTTGGCTGGGCGCTACCTACATCGGGGATGAACTGTGTCAACCCCACATCTGATCCTTCTCAGCGCCATGCCAAGACTCGGAAATGCAACGGAAACGCCCCTATTCTCCCCATATAAATGCCAGCGGGTTCTGCGAGTTGACCCCAGGAAATCCACTTGAATCTTCAATCACTCACCCATCTACTCTTCAATCAACATGCGTTTCGCCGTTGCCGCTACCATCGTGGCCCTTTTTGTAACCTTCGCCGCTGGATCTAGCATCCAGGCTCGCTGCTACCCCGACTCCTGCGTGCGTGTGCCCATTAGATCTACTCGCACTGGTTGTCTAATGTGTGCCTCGCTGTAGGTCTGCAATGAGAGCGGGTGCAGCGCTGGTCCTGCCTGCTGTGCTGTGAGTGCCGTGATATTCCTAACTACGTGGTAGACTGACGTTGACGCGCGTGCAGAACGGAAGCTGCCCCTGCTAGTGGGTCATTGACGGAAGAGTCGCGCCAGGAGCAAGTTGAGGCAATTTTTTGGGGCCGGAGATTAGCACTCTGCTTTGTTAATGTGGCCGCATCAATATTCACCGTTGATTTACGATAGAAGACGTAGATGCGTGCCACGACACAGCGGCCGACTCAGTCGTTGACTCGAACCAGCCGCTATGGGGGACACCGCGGATTCGATGACATTGATACTGAGATCAGAACACTTGAGGCCACATCGGAGATATTGATAAAATGCAACATACAGATGGATGGTTCTCTTCTGCTCAATTCCTTCCCGAGGCAAGCAGAGATTTTTAGCGGTGGACAACCGGGAGCTGGAGAATGGCTTTCCAAAGATGAGAACTTGGAAGGGGGGAATGGAAGTCTAGTGTGGGAGAAAAAGGGCATCGCTGACCGGGTGAGAATGCGGAGACTTTTCGAGGATGGCGTATAAGACAAGGATTCGGAGCTCCCGTTACATTCCCTGGAGTCTTCAGATGAGCATCTCGATGAGCGAGGAGTGAACAGGATTGAGGTGATATCAGTTGAGCTGAAGGTCAAAAACCCATGGTAACAAGCTTCAGGAGGAGATACATATCCATGCTGGATTTTTCCGTCTTCGGTCGAACAATAAGCGGGCTGCTCGAACCACGGATTCAAGATAAAGCCTTTCGAAAACTCGCGCCAACGTGTTAGAAAGCACATGGTGGCAATGATGATGGCGTCCACTTGAACTTGCTCTGGGATGGCCCAGCCTGAGAGCTCGCTCAGGTCTTCGACTGTACATGTATGATTGGCAGGGCTTGGTTGCAAACGACTTCTTCCCCAGGCTGTAGCCTGGCATAGTAATATCCCAATGAAGAATCATGAAGGATACACGTTGAGAAAAAAACTGCTCAACTTGAAGGCGCGTTTGTCATGGAGAATTGTCAGACGTGCTCAGAGAATCTGAAACAAGTATCGTCGAGCTTGCTGAAAAGCACAATAGAACCAGGACCCTAGGAACTTGGCAGGAGTTGGCTGGTGGAAAAGATATGAACGTTACGGTCTGTCACTGTGACCGCAGTGGCAGTGCACCACCTCGCGACAAACCACATCTTCGACCAGTCCTCGACGGTCCTCGGTCCCTTCATCGTTTCACCCCGGTCTCATCCTCCCCGGTGTCGCTCATGTCAAGCTCTGGCTCCGGCTCTGCCTCTGCCCCTCCTGGGTCCTCCAGCTCGGCCCCTCCCGCCGCCCCCCCTCCAACATCCCAGTCCAATGCGATCTCCATCGCCCTGACGAACCCCGCGGGCGGCGCAACAATCACGCAGCCGCCGCAGACCGCCACGTCCTACTATAAAATCGCCCAGAACCAGATCATCACCTTCGGCTGGAACCTCACCTCCGTCATCGCCACCCCGACGTCCATCACCATCAGCGCCGCCTGCGCCAACGGGAACACCTACGCTGTCGGCGCGGATCCCGACGGGAAGGTCCCCGGGACGGCGACGCAGGTCGTGTGGGACGTCTTCTCGTACCAGCAGGTTCGTCGTGTGCGCTTCTTGCGAGCAGGGGTCTGATCTGCGGTTAGGCGCACCAAAACACGCCGCTGGCGCCCGGGACGTGCACGCTGCGCATGTGGGACGACCGCGGCCCGACGGCGACGGCGCGCGCGGGGTTCATGAGCCCGAACACGGCCCTGGCGTTTGCGCTGTATACGCCCCAGGCGTACACGCCCATTGCGAGCGGTAAGCTGTTGCGTCAAAATTCAATTCCATGCCGATCCTCATACCCATGCGAGGCTGGTCCTGTACCGGCTGCAGCGGCGCCCTCCGCAACACGCCCCCCGCGCTCGCCGGTCTCTTCATCACCCTCCTCGTCGTCATCTTCTCCGGCATGCGCATCCTCCGTGCGCGACCGTGATCAGGGTTAGGACTCGGACCTCGTTAATATTGGTTGTGGTTTCGACACTGGTTATTGGTTTGGCTAGCTACACTCACGAACGACGCATGCACACGGACTACATACGTAGCTGAACGGTACATACACTATATGCCATTAGATCTTAATCTGGACTAAGAGGGTGGCTCTTGTCCCTGCGCCTGAACCCGACCTTGACGGGGACCATATGTGACTTGCGTTCGCTACCAGACGGCGCATTCAAGCTTCTGTGGGACAAGAACCTGATGATCAGCGGCGTTATGCTCTGTCCTCAACTATCATCTACGAATGCCGGTGGCACTGAGGGCTTGCCACTGAGGGCTACTACTACTCTTGCGGCTTTGTACCTTCTCAGCTGGGGATTCTGTTCAAGGCGCTTCGAGTGTGTATGTGTACTGTTCTGCATCGTCATTGGTCAAGCAGTGGCCCGGTATCGATATTGCCATATGCCTCTTACGGTGGACTCTATGTGTGCGTACTGCCTCAAACTTTACATACACTGCTAATCATATCTCTAGAGTTTTACATGGTACATCTATACTTTCGTGTCTGCCTCGCTCGAAGGCGCACTTGCTTCCTTTGCCGGCCACGCTAGCTTCGCCTTGAGGTACAGCGCGACCCAGGTCAAGGCCACCAGGACCGGGACCTCGACGAGCGGTCCGATCGTAGCAGCCAACGCCTCGTCCGACCCCACGCCGTACGTCGCAATCGACACCGCTATCGCGAGCTCCTGCAGAAGCGTGAGCGGTGCTCTTGTTGTAACTCGAGTCGCTTACAAAGTTGTTGCTCCCGGCGGTGAAGGCCTGCACGACGGCCATCTCGTAGCCAAAGTCGATGGTGTTGCGCTTGCGCCGCCCGAGCCAGTAGATGAGCGCGAACGCGCTGCTCCACACGATGACGAAGTACAGAATCAGGGGCACGAAGACGCGGAAGACGGGCCCGATGTTCTGCACGATGTGGTGGCCCTGGTACGCGAACATGACGAGGATCGTGTACAGCAGGCCCAGGGGCGCCAGCGGGCCGAACAGCGGGAGGAACCGCTCCTCGAGGAATTTCTTCGACGTCAGATACCACACGAGGTACCGCGTGACAACGCCCGCGACGAGGGGGATCCCGAGGTACTTTATTTCGTGAGCCCTTCTCCAGAAACAAACGCAGTGACGGAGACTCACGATGAGGACCGAGATGGCGACGTCCCCGTAGTCGAGGCGTACGCCGGACTTGCGGCCGCCGACGACGTTGACGAAGAGCAGCGTGTACGGCGAGTAGAGGATCATCTGCAGCACGGAGTTGATCACGACGAGGATCGCGCAGTAGTTCCCGTCGCCCTGCGCGATGTGGCACCAGATGAGGACCATCGCGATGCAGCGCGCCATGCCGACCATGATGAGGCCCGTGCGGTACGTGGGCAGGTCGGGCAGCGTCGCCCATGCGAGGCCGACCATGATCAAGGGGCCGATGACCCAGTTGAAGAGCATCGAGATGCCGATGTGCGTCCATATCCCGGACGACCGGAAGATCTGGGGTATCTTCTCGTATTGGACTTTTGTGAGGACCGGCCACATCTGCAGATGGGTTGGTTATAATGGGTACGTTGGAAAGGGCGGGAGACGCGAACCATTACGATTAGGCCTATTACGATGGCTGCGGGCGGTGAGCATACTACAACTGGACCGCTGATTTCCACGTACGAACAGACACGCCGTCGAAGCGAGCCGTGTTGAACGCGTCCTGGACGGTGGGCACGTATACGCCTATGAGGACCCCGGCGATCATCGTAACCAATATTGCGGGCGACAGAAGCCTGTCGAAGATCGAGAGACTTTTGAACACATCTGGAGGAGGCTTTCGTTGAGCTCGCAGCAGTCCGGACTCTCGGACGAGACTCACTGGCTGTCGAAGGAGTGGTAGTGCTAGGGTCCAACTTGGGGCCTCCGCAGGACTGGTCGCACTGTGAGGGAGTGGCGGACTTCTCGACGTCGGTACCTTGTCTCTCCATTGTGTTGTGGTGGGCGGTGGAAGAGTTGTGAGAGACCGCGGAACCTTTTTGAACTCGATTTCGATTTTTTGATTTTGACTGTCGTCAAATTCGGCTTCACGAAAGGAGGTCACGTCGTGGTGAATTACTAACTGCCAAGTCACTATCCGAGGCTCGTCAACCTTCAGAGTGAGTGGGCATTCACACCGTCGACTGACCTGGCGACCTCCCCCTGCACGAAATTATGTGCCTTTGATACTTCCTACAAAATCGAACATGACAATATCGAAAGTTGAACCCGGCTGATTGAATCACTTACATGAATCAATGATGCGATTCGGCTATCACATATCATCCATCTGCGACCAAAAGCGGATAGCTGTGGTTCAAGTTTCAATTGGGTCTGCTAGCAAGAGAAATAAAGAGCTGAAAGGGCAGACATTGTGAAAATAAAAAGGAAAAATAAAAGGGAAGCTGGGAGGATCGAACTCCCGTCTCGCCACGAATGCTAGTCCTCAGCGCGCGCGACAGGCCGCCGTACTGGTCGCTTCTAAGCTGGCGCGTGGTACCGTTACACCAAGCTCCCCAGGAGAATATAGAATGGATATGTTACACGATCAGCATCTCCCAGAACTCTCACTGTTCTCTTCAGCAATAATGTGGCCGCCAAGCACTACAGAGCCCCCAGAACTCCCTAGCTCCTCACAGAACCAGTGTCTCCAGAGGGGATGATCTTCAGTACGGGGAGCGAAAACAAAATCGGTCGCGCTGAGCGAAGGAACTGCAGTGAAACTTGGCGGCCGGACTAGCTCCGGGTCCATAACATAATGTCTATAGAATAATTAATCAGCCAGGCTATTGATTGGAGGAGCAACTCACCGGGGGCCTCTGTTGAGAATCCTACCCTGACGCCGAAAAGAAATCTTCGAACGGCGGTGGGTTGGTCGAGGTGGTTCGAGACATGATAATAATCCGAACAATAATCAGTAACCCGAACACGTCACGGAATGCCGTCTTTCTCTTCAACCACAATCTGCGGAAAGTCAAGGATGATATTGATGACACTCAAGCTTCCCACTGGTCTTGTTCTTGTTCCTGACTTGAGCGCATTATCCTAGACGCACACGCGCGATGATCATGCCGGCGCCCGTTGAAAACTGCTCGGGCTCTCAAGATCTCACCGTTCAACGTTTAAATGAAAGACTACGGCCGCCTGCGAGATTCAGCCCCGCGAGCCGTCTCCGACTACACCCGTGAAGTCGTTGGCGTCGGGACTCGGGATCTACGACCTCCGCGACTCAAATGTTGCGGCAACGGTCCTCATCTGTCTCGACGCGCGTCGAGTCGTTCGCGTCACTTGGGGACATTCTCGCAACCGCTCTAACTCGTGTGTGCTTTCCCTTCCACCGTCCTGTGAGACATAATGGTGTGTTCGATTGTTCCGTTCTGACTTATTTCTCCCTTGCGGCGCCAATGGCGCCGACGCCAAAGCGCGTTCCTGCACAGCGGCCGTACAAGCGGGAAATTGTCACAAGCACAGAGCAGGGTGGGCTTCCCGATCTTCGTCCCCCCCACTGATTCTCCTTTCTCAGAGCGAAATCCGCTCTCGCCTCCACGCACTGCACGAACGCGTAGACGCTCTCGCGTCGGACTCCGACTCGCGTTCCAAAGGCGTACCACGGGCCTGGCACAATGCCGCGTCGCCCGTGCCCGGGACACAAGCGGACCCGGTGCGGGCGAGACAATCACCCCCCCTCTTTGTCATTTGAACATGCACCTAGGCAGGTGCACGTATACATCCCCACAAACATCGACCCCACGACCTCTTTTGACAACGTTGTTCGCCGCAAGCTAGGGGCTCTGCGCACTCAGCAGAGCCTAGTAGCCGCCAACGACGTGGACATTATTCCTAAAGATATTATTAGATAACAAAGTCACTGATTTGAGTGATTCAATGACCAGGTACCAACAATCAGACAGGGAAAATTCCTCGTATACCAGTCGACTGTCGAAAGTTCCCGGGTGCGACTACTCTAGCAAGGTCGGCCCCCACCTTCGTGACGAGAGGTTGTTTCAACCGTTACCGACGAGAGATTCAGTCAGTCTTTGAATTTTCGGCCGAATAGTGTCGGTCTCATGACCGCTGGTAAGTCACTTGAGAAAAGCATGTATAAAAGTGGGTGGGCTCCAGCTTGAAGTTTTCAGATAATACAGTGAAGTCCGTCCCCACTGATAGCACACGGGCATGACCAAGAGAATCCTCCTGCTTGGCGCTGGGTTCTTCGCCAGGCCGTGTGCAGAATACCTCGCGCGCGACATACTGACACAGCAACCCAGCGTGTCGCACCCTCGCATCCGCCTCAGCGGTCTGCACCGGGCTCCCGCGGTGCACCGCCGCTGCGCTCGACGTCACCGACACCGCCGCGCTGGAAGCAGCCGTGGCCGCGCACGACCTCGTCATCTCGCTCGTCCCGTACACGTTCCACGCCGCCGTCGTGCAGGCTGCGATCAAGAGCAAGACGCACGTCGTCAGGACGTCCTACATCTCCTCAGCGATGCGCGCGCTTGGCACGGGCATCGTCGTGCTTGATGAGGCCGGGCTCAACCCGGGGATCGACCATCTGTATGCCGTCAAGGTCATCGACGCGGTGCACGCCAGGGGCGGAAAGGTTGTCGCCGCACGAGTGTATCTTGTATGCTGACCACTATGCACAGGTCAATCAGTTCCTGCTACACTGCGGCGCGCTCCCCGCCCCCGAAAGCGCGGACAACCCGTTGGGCTACAAGTTCTCGTGGTCCCCGCGCGGCGGGCTCCTCGCGCTGCTCAACCGCGCATCTTTCCTCGCCGCCGGTGCAGTCACGCACATCCCGGGCCCCGAGCTCATGACCGGCGCAACGCCCTCCTCCATTCCGCCCAACTTCGTCTCCGCGTTCGAGACTTTCCCGAACCGCGACTCGGTGCCGTTCCAGAAGTTCTACAACATCCCCGAGGCAGAGACGGTGCGGCGTTGCACGCTGCGCTACACGGGCTTTCCTGCGTTCATGGCGACGCTAATGAAGCTCGGATGGCTCTCGGCAGAGGTGAAGGAATGTTTGGTCGACGGGATGGAGTGGAGGGAGGTGATGCAACGGGCTTGTGGTGCAAGCGGGAACGAGGAGAGGTGCATAGTTTCGATACGCTGTCGGCTATCCGCCCCCATGCGCACCAGTACACTGATCACCCAGATCAAGCAGGTATGCGCCTTCCCGTCCGAATCCGAAGCCACGCGCATTATCGATGGCCTGCGATGGATGGGCCTGTTCTCGGGAGAAAAAGTGGCCGTTCACAATGGCGCCCTTCTTGACACGCTTTGCGCTCGGCTCGAGATTGATGGAGTACGATCCTGGCGAGCGCGACCTGGTGCTCCTCCAGCAGAAGTTCGTCGTAGAGTGGATGGACGGCAAAGGGGTTCGCCCGTTCCCGCTCTCTAGCTCGATTTGTGGATGCAGGGCATTCTTGCTGACTTATACGCAGGAGACTATCACCTCAACGCTTTGGCACCCGACACGGCCCCTCCGCGATGGCCCGCACGGTCGGAATACCGTGCGGAATCGCGACGCAGCTGGTCTCGGATGGGGTCCTCGCCACTCCGGGAGTCCAAGCCCCGTATTCGAAAGAGATCTGCGACCCTATCAGGCAGAAGCTGGAGAGCGAAGATTTGGGGATGACGATAGAGGGCCTGTAGATCGCACTACGTTAGACCTGCGTGCCACAAGCCACAAAACGGATAGTACTGGCGTTTGTTTCAATGCCAAATGGCATCAGGCGACTTGGTCGCGCCGGAGGTGGATCGAAGCTGCGAGATTGCCATGTTACGAGAAAGCTGGTGTCCATCGTCTTGCGGAGCTTCATCGTCCTCGACGAGGCCTTCACAATCGATGTATCCGCCGCAGCACTCGTCTGCAGGTAAGACATCATGTTGCAGAGTCTCTTCTGCGCGGGACTGCGCCGAAGCGGCGCTCGAGAGCGACTCCAGAGGCGAGGTATACGAGGGCGGATGTGTGTGCATCCCGGAATCCGAAGGGAGCCCGACGCGCATGAAATGCGACAAAGAGGCGGATGCGGCTGCCAAGGTATCCCTTAGATGGACAGACGCTTGCATCTGCGGCATAGATGAAGGTGTGTCGACTGAAAGATAGCGAAACTCACCGCTTCAGGACTCAGATTGGCCTGTGGAATGCCCTGTCTCGCAAGGTCGAGCTCCTTTCTCAGCCGAATGTTCTCCTCCTCTGCCTTCTTGCACCGCGCCTCAAGGTCGGCCACATACTGGCTTTTGCGGGCTCGGTAGTCGCGCTGTAGAGTCAGTGCGCGCGTTGGAGGGATTGTGTTGTCTTTCTTCCGACCTCTGGTCATGTTGCTTGAAGATGAGTGTGGGACGGAGAGGTTGTGAGGCTGTGCCGGCACAAAATCTGTCTTTCGACATCTTCAACCGACAAGAGCCTCTGGAGCCTACGCTGTGCTTCCCGTTCACCGTCTATAGCTGCAGCTTCTGCCATGATTCGCTCATAGAAATCTTTCGGTGATGACCCGACTCCATTCAGCCTCCGTGATATGTAAACACCAGCATGCGCATTGCGGTTCTATCAGTTCTTTCCGCACCCACAATGCGCACAACAAGCTCTGAGCCAGAAATTGCGCCCTATGGAACGTGGAAGTCGCCCATATCCTCTATTATGATAGCGAAGATGGTGCGCTCGAAGCCGTTCCGAAGGCCTCCCATCTAAATGTGCAACTAGTCGGTATCGACTGAAGATGTCTTGGTGGACCCACTAACCTCAGCGATATACTACCTTGATAAAAGGCCTGAAGAAGGCGGTCGGAATGTTATAGTGGCTCTTGCCAACGGCTCGGACGTCTTCGGAGAGGGATGGAATGCTCGCACCGCGGTGCAGGAATACGGAGGAGCTCCTGCCAGTATGTTTGAACCTTTCGCTCTCATATATACTCTGAACGCGCTCTGAAGACGTCTACGACGACGTCTGCCTTTTTTCCAACTTCAGTGACGGGCAAGTCTACAAGGTGGATCTCAAGCGCGGATCTTCTCCGACTCCAATTACCGGCAAGGACAACTACCGATTCGCGGATTTTGCGTGCCACCCAGAAAGCCCCAATTTCATCGTGTGCATCTTGGAGGATCACACGAACCCGGCCCCCAAGGATGTTGTGAACAGTCTCGTTTGGCTGGACGCCGCCAGAACGAGGGATCCGACGACTTTGATCTCTGGCTCCGATTTCTACGCGAATCCGCGCTTCAACGCCGATGGAACGCTCCTAGCTTGGACCGAATGGTCGCACCCTGACATGCCATGGGACGGGTCCGTACCTTGACCTTCGCGTCGCTGTGACGTTAACCTCTATATAAACCAGAGAACAAGTTTTTGTCGCTGCAGTTGATATGACCGACGGTCAGCTAGCGCTCGCCCCAAATCGACTGGCAAAATTCCGTGTTGCGGGTTGCCCATCGGTCGTTAGCGCCGTTCAACCGACGTGGTTCGATTCGAATAATCTCATGTTTTCATGCGATATCTCTGGCTACCATAACCCCT